TTGAGCCCAAGAGTTTGAGGTTGCTGTGAGCTGTGACGTCACAGCACTCTACCCAGGGCGACAGCTTGAGACTGTCTCAAAAAAAAAAAAAAAAAAGAATTGGAGACCAGCCTGAGCAAGAGTGAGACCCAGTCTCTAAAAACTAGCCGGGAGCTCTGGTGGGCACCTGTGATCCCAGTTACTTGGGAGGCTGAGGCAAGAGGATCACTGGAGCCCAAGAGTTTGAGGTTGCTGTGAGCTCTGATGCTATGGCACCCTACTGAGGGCAACGAAGTGAGACTCTGTCTCAAAATAAAAATACTTTGTATCTGCTAAACATTTAATAAAAACAAAAATGATTCACCATTGAACTGGAAAGTCGCTGGTGTGCAGTAGATGGTCTCAAATAACCGCATACCAGTTTAAGGCAGTAGAAGTTCCTAAGTATCTCAAAGTAGTCAAATATAGAAGTTGACATGATGTAAGTCATTCAGAGGCATGAAGGAAAATTGATTATAGACCCCAAACATACGTCTTTTGACGCAGGTATCTAGTAAAAGCTTTCAGCTAGCTTCCAAAAGCAGCTGCTTAACATCTAGTAGAAAGTAATTCAATTTTTATATAAAACATTAAGGATAGGTAAAACTTCTGCCCTCAACATCGTACCCTTGATCTTAAAGTTGCTGAAGCACCCCAACTTGTAATTTGGGAGCCGTGAACAACAGTCCCTGGCCACGTGGTAATTTAAATGCCTGTTTACAGTTTGGTGAATATGGATTAAACTTAAACTTGGTCTGTGAAAGTGAAGAGCAATGTGGTGGGTGACAGTGTGTCAGGATACACAGTGTCAGGATAAATATATACTGTCATAAATCAATAAAAATGAGTTTTGTCAATTCTATGCACCATAGTCTATGTAGGAAAAAACCCGTTTGTTGTTGGTGTGCACGTATAGTCCCAGCCACTAGGGAGGCCAAGGCAAGAGGATGACTTGAGCCAGGAGTTTGAGGCCATTAAAAATCAATAAATATTTGTTGAATTAGCAAAGAAACAATAAGCATTTTACAAAAGAAGAAATATCAATCCCAAGAGGCAGAAAAAGATGTCATGGGTAATAAAGATAAGAGTCTCACCAAAGATAAGCAGAGTTTCTTATCTGAAAGTATGCCAGACAAGGAAGGAGAGGAGGAAGCACTGGGATTTGGGGTCTAGTCCTGGCTCTGCAACTCACTGTATCACCTTGAGCAAGTCATAAGCACTCTGAACCTCGTGATCTTCTTTCCTAAGGTAAGGATGATAATCCCCAGCCCACTCAATTTGGTAAAAATCCCCCAAACCTTTTGCAAACTGTAAAGTGCTATCCAAAGATAAATTATTGTGCTGTGTGGGCTAACTGTGATAGGGTAAGAACTAGGCTGAGCTTGGCTCAGTGGCCAGGGCACCAGCCACATACACTGGAGCTGGTGAGTTCAAATCCAGCTCAGGCCTGCCAAAGAACAATGACAACTACGACCAAAAAAATAGCTGAGCAATGTGGCAGGCGCCTGTAGTCCCAGCTACTTGGGAGGGTGAGGCCAGAGAATTGTTGAAGCCTAAGAGTTTGAGGTTGCTTTGAGCTGTGACACTACAGAGCACTCTGCCAAGGCGGGCATAGGGAGTCTGTCTCAAAAAAAAGAAAAGGAACAAGTCTGAGCAGTTTTGCTAAAGTTCGTGCTGGTCACTCACCTCTGGTCAAGGGATGACACATATTGATTAATAGCATTGTTTTATGACCATAGGTTGAAGGAGTTTGGGAACAGTTTGGATCAGCCTGTCAACAGTATTTATTGATAATAGTTGACAATGATAATTTATACCTAGTCTTAGGGAGACTCCCAGAGAGCTTTGCTATTGAAGCCAGTCACATAGCAGGAATATGCCTATGTGACCAGAAAAAAAAAAAATCAGCATATTGGCTAATACCCAGAATCTATAAGAAGCTCAACAATTCAACAAGAAAAATGCAAATAACCCCAATAAAGAGTGAGCAACACACACGAAGAGACATCTTTCAAAAGAAGACGTACAAGCAGCCAGCAAACATATGGAAAAAATACTCAACACCACCAATTAACAGAGAAGTGTAAACTAAAACCACAGTGAGATGGTGGTACCCGTAGCTCAATTGGCAGGGCACCAGCCACATACACCAAGGGTGGCAGGTTAGAACCCGGCCTGGGCCTACTAAACAACAATGACAAAACTGCAACCAAAACATAGCCAGGTGTTGTGGCGAGCACCTGTAGTCCCAGTTACTTGGGAGGCTGAGGCAAGAGAATTGCTTAAACCCAAGAGTTTGAGTTGCTGTGAACTGTGACACCACAGCGCTCTACCCACAGCGACAGCTTGAGACTCTGTCTCAAAAAAAAACCACACTGTGAGATAATGAGATACCATCTTACAACAGTCAGAATGGTTATTATTCTGCCAAAACCCAGCAGATATTGGTGAGGATGTAGCAGAAAGGAAATGCTTATGCCGTCTTTTAGAGCCTCAAGCTGTTGCCTTAGGTAGAGTGCTGTGGCATCACAGCTCACAGCAACCTCCAACTCCTGGGCTCAAGCGAGTCTCCTGCCTCCACCTCCCAAGTAGCTGGGATTATAGGCACTTGCCACAACGCCTGGCTATTTTTTGGTTGCAGCTGTCATTGTTGTTTGGCGGGGCCAGGCTGGATTCG